ACAAGGTAACAAGGTTACCATTAGGCGAGAGCATAATCTCTCTCGTGTATAAGCTGAGCAGGTTCACAACCGTTAAGATCGTATCACATTCGCCATTTGAAAATGTGCGACAAGGACGGCAAAGCTTTGTGATTTGCAGCTATCCATCTCTCACACGGAAGACGTCCATTACACTTGCTTTGCGAGGAACAACGGTCAAGGCACACCCTATCGGGCAGAATTTTGCAAAATATGACCCTCTTCAAAGATCCTAAGCTCATGCAACCCCTTCCTTATCCAGTCTAATGTCTTTTTGAATTTTCCAGCTTCCTGCAGCTTTTCCGCAGCTTTTTTTCAAAATTCTTCATTTTCTCCCCAAAAACTGCCGTCGAGCAAGGATTGCACAGCGGGAAGAGGAAAAACCGAGAAAAGTCAACAACCAAAAACATTCCTTCCAAAGGCATTGAAACCCCATTCGAATGGTCTGTCAGCCTAGCGCTGTGTTCCCACGCCGTATGCTTATACAATGCTCAGAACCAGTCAACCGAGGGGAGTGTTGTTCGGGCCGTTTCCGACTTTGGTTTTGAATTTTTCACTACTTCAGAGATACTACATAACCCCAGTAGTTCATACTTGAAACCCGCTATTCTCGGCATGGGTGAATGTGCCAAGCCAGATTCAAAAGGGCTTATTAGGTAACCATCGATGTGATTATGTCCTTACCGACTTTTCCCACATAGGAATAACATCCATCCAGTGGCATGAAGGCCAGAAAATCCCGCTCACTGGAGCGCGGAACGAAGTGAAAGCATGACATTCGCTGCAAGCTATCCAAGGAGTTTCGGATAGTCTTCTTCCTGAAATATTTTGCAGAAGTGCATTTGAAATCGAGCAGCAAAGAAAGCAGGTGAATTCAATTTATAAAGGACATCCATGATCCCTGCAAATGACAGGGTGAAGAGCGCGAACTGAAGCGCAGCGAGGGCAGTCTTTCCCGTCAACTGCTGTGACTGAAGCGCAGCGAGGGCAGCTTTTCCCGTCAATTGCTGTGGACGCAAGACGGCGTCATTGGTGGAAAATTCCGCCCTGGCAGCGCTCCAATCCGTCACATTCCCTGTCGTTTGCAGGAATCACGTCTGTATACCCTATACAACTGATTTAAATTATGTTCAGTTCTGCAAGAGTTGGAACTGGAATCGGAGTTTTTGCCTACTGACTGAGACTTCAAGCAACTGGTTTGAACTGGTAGATGGAGATGAAATGCGGATAAGGGCATATGCCATAGGTCGTATATAGTGCCCTCAATGAATTTGTAGATGCTACAGTTGGCTTATAAGTGAAGAAAAACGGACCAGAACCCCAAAAAATGCCTTGAGTAAAGTCCCTATCTGTCTGATTCCACTACAGCAGACAAGAAAGGGAGAGACATTGCGAGCGAGCGAGAGAGAAATTAGAGAGTTCTTACAACCTTCATCTTTTACTTAGGAGCTTGTATTAACCAATAATTCCTTCGCTTTTCACCACCTCCCTCAACCCCGTTGTTAAGGAGGTGGTGCAACAGGGGCAAGTAGTGTTCCTTGGCACGAGCAGGGACCACGGTCAGGGCGACTCCCGTCCAGTCCAAACAAGCTTTCAGCGGTCTGTCGGCTAGCTGGTACCTTTATCTGGTTGACTTACGTAGCCACTGAAAAGACCCTTTTGCGTCAAAATGCCGTTATGACGGTGCATGGAAAAAGAGGAAGTGGCGTACCTAATGCGAGGTTGGTCATCCCTGAAAGCCTTTTCTACTAGTTTTTCTTGCAATATTTTTGTGCAAGGCTACTAGCATCTGCCCCAGTTGCTTGTCTGTAGCGAGCCAAGCGCGCGCTCTAACCTTTCTCCTAACAACAAGGTGCTACCGTCAGAAAGACCAAAGCAATACCTCACACATCACCTGTCGCTCCCCCCACCCTCCCCAACTCAAAAGCACCAGAAAAGTGCGCGTTTTAACCTAAAAAAAAAGATACACGTACTGATCATCTGAGTAATCTGATGATAAGGTGTACGGTAATGATGTTGTTGTGCCAGCGATTCACCGCATTTTTCTTTCGAGAGACTCCTCGCACAGGGTTTTCCTGCGTTCCATAACGGCGACGTTGTAGAGGGGTGAGAACTGAAAATAGATGTGTTGTATGGTAGTGGGACTTCAACTATGTACACGCGTTTGAAGGAAGTTGTAGTTTGCTTTTCTTGGCTGAAGACCCTCCTTTCAAAGATTCGGACACACCACGATGCTGTACCCTGCACCAAACCCATTTCTACGAGTTGCTGAAGCGGGATAAAGCCTCAGTATTAGTGTAAAAGCGGGCTGCGCGCCGCGCTATTCATGATGACTGCTCAGGTCTGCAGAGAAAAGACACATTAAGGACACTCTTGGCATCATAAAGCGCGGAATGATTGTTGTTTAAAAAGACCAGTGGACTGCACTATATCACTATTCACTCCGAGCACTGACCGCTGCCACTGTATCTTCAGAATCACTAACAAAAGTCGACGACAAGGTCGTGATCGGACCATGCGAAACACGACACGAAACAGCGATATCGTGTGAAAAGGGAGGACCACGGGAATCTCATAGTGCTGCAGCGAAAATTTCCAGGAGTCTTCCTATACGCAAGGAACCCACGGGTACGCTACGCGGCAGGGAAAACAAGCTGCTATCAATCCATCACTACAACCATACAACAAAAGGTATCCTTTATTGCAACTCCTACTATAATCGAAGACGAGTTGTCACTTGTACACTCGCTTCCATGGATCCTGATCCTCGCCATGGGCGGGGCGAATGAGTACCGCAGCTGCCGTAGCATGTTCCGTTCTACTCAAAACTGCACGGAAACGAGAGTAGGGATATCCCGGTGTCGGCGCCATACTTGTCTCGCAGCCAGCTACATGAATAATCGTAGCCAAAAGCGCTACATGTCTGCGCCCTCCCACTCTGGTTGTTCTCCAACGCTGAGTTCGTGTTTCGCTGCGGGAGCTTGTATCTGCGTAAGTGCTGCACCTTGAACATAGTGCGGGCGGAGCAACGAGCTGCCGAGTATAACTACCCTCAATGCCAGTTTCCGTGCATCTTTCAGGGGAGAAAATGGGCGATATTGCGGCTGCGGGCCCATTAACCACGCACGGAAAAGACCGTTCTTGGAAGTGAGTGTACAGTTTGCCTTTACCCGTTCTTCTTCCATATATGTCGCTGATTTGGCCCAAAATTTACAGCGCACATATTTATAAAGGGTTCTCGCGAATTCCACATACATGCTGTTAGGGTGGTTCAATGGAATGTCAACGGCGAGAACAATAATAATAAGCGTAATAACTCTTTATCGTAAATCACAACCCACGTGTATCCTTTGTGGACGGTTTGAGGAAGTATGATTCCCCTACCTGATGAGTATCAGCCTGACTCCGCATCAGGTAGGGAACTTATGCGGGATCGTCGTCTCAGACTGTGAGACGACGATGATGATACATGCTTTCCTATATTTATCTCAACGACTTACCATGTGTCAGGTTCGTCCTATAAGAGCCCACACTGTTGTGGCCGAAATGGGGCCGGTGTTGAAAACAAGTCACAGCACCCGTTGTGAAACGCACATTGGAGAGGTGGGATGGGTGGTGGTTGTCCGCCTAGTGAAAGTAGGAAATCGTAGTTGCCCCAAAAAAAACTTCTTTGATAGTTCATCTCTCCAGTTTTAGGCGCTCATCACCTGCAGAATCCCACCAGAGGGTCGTATTTTGGTCAATGGGGGAAAGGGTCGCATAAGAAGGGACGTGACGAAGTTTTTTCTTGTTGTGAGATGTTTCCGCTTTGTGCGCTGCATACCACCCCGTCCTCCCCACAAGAATCACTTGGGAAAGTGGTGGAACAGAAAGGCAAATTTTGGGCGAGGCCTAGTCTTGTTTGCCGCGGATGATGAGGCGTGTTAAGCGGCTGCGTCTGGCGCGGCGCCAAACCCTTTCACACCACTTGAGCGGGTAAACGTGGACAGTTGGCGGAGAACGATGTGATAAGTCTTGTCGCTTGCTCGCTTCAACCACTGGTGTTGGGAAACGGGTTTAGCGCCGCGCCAAGCGCAACTGCGCTGACACACCCCATCATCTGCAGTGAACGAGACTGTATAAATGATCTCGTCCAACGTGATGCTAATGTCCTCGTT